TAAAATCGATATGATGTTTAATAGGGAGCCAGTACAGTGTTGACAGAACCAGGCTAATATGGTCATGCTTCCTGGTTCTAGTAAGAACTCTAGTTTGTTTATTAAGCATGCAGAAAAAACACCCAAAAAAGCATTATATTAATCTAACGTTGAGGTCATGAACGCGTGAATTAACATTTCTGCATTTGACATTGAGAGCATAGGTCATAATTTAGATATATTTTTGAGATGGAAAAATGCAGTTTTACAAATGCTAGAAATGTGCCTTTCAAAGGAAAGATTGCTATAAAATAGCACACCTAGGTTCCTAACTTATGAAGAATTGACAGAGAAGCCATCGAGTCTTAGACAGTATTCTAGGTTATTACATGCAGAGGTTTAATGTCCGATAATTAACACCTCTGTTTTTTCAGAATTTAGCAGTAAGAAATTACTCGTCATCCAGTTTTTTATATATCGATTATGCATTCCATTAGTTTTTCAAATTGGTATGTTTCGCCGGACCGCAAAGAAATATAGAGCTGAGTATCATCAGCATAACAGTGAAAGCTAAGACCGCTTTTCCTGATGATATCTCCCAGGGGTAACATGTAAAGCATGAAAAGTAATGGCCCTAATACTGAGCCTTGAGGTACTCCATACTGCACTTGTGATCGATATGATACCTCTTCGTTCACTGCTACGAATTGATGGCGGTCAGATAAGTACGATTTGAACCATGCTAATGCACTTCCACTAATGCCAACAACGTTTTCTAGTCTATTGAAAATAATGTTGTGGTCAGTAGTGTTGAACACAGCACTAAGATCCAATAGCACTAATAGAGAGATACAACCACGATCAGATGATAAGAGCAGGTCATTTGTAACTATAGTGAGAGCAGTTTCAGTACTATGATACGGTCTAAATCCTGACTGGAAATCCTCACAGATACCATTTTTCTCTAAGAAGGAATATAATTGTGAGGATACTACCTCTTCTAGTATCTTGGACAGAAAAGGGATATTCGAGATCGGTCTGTAATTAATTAGTTATTTGGGGTCAAGTTGTGTTTTTTTTTAATAACAGCCAGTTTGAAGGTTTTGGGGACATATTCTAATGACATTGACGAATTAATAGTTAGAAGAGGATCTATGACTTCTGGAAGCACCTCTTTTAGGAGCTTAGATGGAATAGGGTCTAACATACATGTTGTTGGTTTAGATGATTTAAGTTTATACAATTCTTACTCTCCTATAGTAGAGACTGAGTGAAATTGTTCCTCAGGGGATCTATAGCGCATGTGATACTGTAGCTGACGGCTGCATGGTTACAATTTTATCTTTAATAGTATCGATCTTGGAAGTAAAGTAGTTCATAAAGACATTACTGCTGTGCTGTTGGGAAATGTCAACACCTGTTGATACTTTATTTTTCGTTAATTTAGCCACTGTATTGAAAACAAAATACCTGGGGTTATGTTTGTTTTCTTCTAAAAGAGACGAAAAGTAATCAGATCTAGCAGTTTTTAATGCTTTTCTATAGGATGGGGTACTTTCCCGCCAAGCAATACGAAATGCCTTTAGTTTTGTTTTCCTCCAACTGCGCTCAATTTTTTGGGCTGCTCTGTTTAGGGTGCGAGTGTGCTCATTATACCACGGTGTCAGACTGTTTTCCTTAATCTTCCTTTAGCGTAAAGGAGTAACCATATCTAAAATGCAAGAAAAGAGAGAGTCCATAGTTTCTGTTACTTCATCAAGTTGTTCTGAGCTATTGCATATGCTGAGGAATTGAGATAAATCAGGAAAATAACTTACAAAGCAGACTTTTGTGGTAGAAGTGATGGTTCTACCATACTTGTAACAAGGAGTAGAATTTACAGTTTTAGCTATATGAATTTTGCACAAGACTAGATAATGATCTGAGATATCATCGCTTGGCTGCACAATTTAAGCACCATCAACATCAATTCCACGTGACTGTAACGGAGGCGACAAGACGAGAGCCGTGCGGATCCATTTGCAGGCATTTATTAAACAGAGACAGGGTCATAAGAGGCATGGGTCAAACAGTGGCAAACAGGTACATTTCAGGCAAGACAAAGAGTATTCCTAGGGCAAGTGTGGGTCTATGATCGGCGAACAATATCCAGAGGGCTTGACACAAGGGGTTATATCCAAGATACACAGGCAGAAGATCAGGAAACAGACAACAAGGCAACATAAAATGACTAGACTTAAAAGGAAACTTGGAATGGCTCCGTAATGTAGCTATAGCTAGAAGAGTGATAAACGCTAAAAAATACTCGGCAGTGAGAGAGACGAAGTCCATGGCTTATAAAGCGTGTCTCATTGAATGCAGCTGTGTGTGTGTAATCAGTGCAATGGATGATGGGAAATGCAGTCCAGGGTGATGTGTAACAGTCTGTGTGGTGTGAGAGTCAATGTAATGGGAGAGCGACCTCTGGTGGTAATCGGCCGGAAGGCCATGGACTGGATTCGTGACAGTGACAGCATTAAATCTAGAGTATGATTTCAACAATGAGTAGGTCCTGTCACGTGTTGTTTAACCCTCTTAGCGCCAAAGGCACAAAATTGTGACAAGACGTCATACTTAATCAAATAGACTGTATTTCCTAATATGGTGTAATATCTAATTTGTATTCCCTACCACTAGATGGCAGACATGTAGTACTTTGATTCTAGACCAAAATTACGTCTCCTCCCAGACAGCAAAAATCATCTGGCCCAGATCCAGCCCAGAACTCTAATAAGTTTTGGGCCAAATCCACATAATGGACTTGGGCCGGTGTCTTTTGGCACAACGGGCCAATACCGTCACACATCTGTTTTTCCTCATCTGGACCAGCACTGGGCCAGGCCCGTACCAGATGTGGGTTCCTTTATGCTGATTTGGCCCATACGTGGGCCAGATCTGGTCCAACTTTGTTCTGGATATGGTCCAGTACTGTGCTGGATTCAGACCAGCTCATTTTTTGGAAACACGCTCATGAACACATACGCATTAGTATATTTGTCTAGAATTTTAAGCATATACATTTTATATATTTTATTATCTTATGCTACTGCTACTTTTCCTGTTAAGTTTTAACATGAAGCTTTTAAACAACAAAAAGTTGCAAGTACTGATTTAGATGTATAAACAATTACTGTACTTTTTACACTTTTACAGTAAAATACCACCTGCTATGCAGAGATAGTGCTATCTTAGCAGCTACTACTTCACTGTACACATAAATTGGGTAGAGAATAAAACTGGAAAGAGACAATTCGACATATTCAAGGCCTCTGTCTTTTGATTCACCTTCCATTTATTTTAGCACATTAAAACAAATGCACAAAACAATGCAAAAACAGTGGTACAAAAGTGTAGCGAATCACCTCCTGGGGAAATATGAATAATTAACCATAACTAGTTATAATCAACTATTCATATATTAGATCCACTGTAGATATTTAGCTGACCTCTCAGGGTCAACTGTCTTGTCAATTCCAAGAACGTTAATTTCCTGGTTAAGGGAAATAACTTTCTTACTGTACAATTCTACAAGCTTGTAACGTAAATCTGCATGATTAGTGACTCCGGTTATGAGCAAACAATGAACACGTCAAGTGTGATACAAGTAAGGTTTTATTAACTACATAAACACTTAAACTAGTCTAACATACTACATAAACACATTAAGCCGGTCTAACATACACATACACACACACACACATACAGTTGGTATCGGAAAGGGTTAAAGTTTAGCACTAAAGAAAGGGACATAAGGAATGACATTTATGGAACCATTTTTGCATATTCAGCAGATCTAAAACCTGAGGGAAAACGTCAGATTCTTAGTTCAAACACACCTTTGTAAAAAGGTGTAACTGATACTTAATGTATCAATTAATAAGACTAAGTTTGATACTTGCTAGTCTCGGCGGTCTGAAAGAGATTCCTGATGCAAATCTTAAAGCTTCCCGTTGATCTTTGCTGAATTCGGGTCGATGAAAAGAACCAGTTTGAGTCAGTGTCACTTGATGAATGGAAAGGACTAGGCCGAAGAAAGGCCTGGCAAACTGCTTTGGTATCCTGAAGGGTTTTCTCACATCTTCTTAGCTTCGACCGAACCACCGACTGGGCGGGTCACATGGAGTGTGGCCTTTTAAAGCCTGTAGAGATTCACGCCTCTCAAGATGGGTTTGTCCAATGAGGAAGGCTGAAATCCCAAGCGGGAGGTTGGAAATACTGGGGAGTTTTATGGCTCTTTGTCTCTAAGCATGGTATTTTGCATATGTAATTCGCTTGGGTGTTGAGGCACAAATTAGTAAAGATTCTTAGAACATCAATATGTTGCATAGGTATCAGCATATAATATACACGCTTGTTTCGATCATAAGAAGGCGAATTCATAGATACTAGACATGGTAGAGTTACTTATATGAATGAGTGGTTTATCGTAAGCATGAATAAAAATAGTCTATAAAACAACAGATTAAATACAACACAGCAATAATATACACAATGGCCTGAAGAAAATGTGTGTTCATTCAAAGAAAGGTTTTCCTATGAATTAATTAGTAGAAAAGTCAATTTCTACTGTGCGTTTGTCCTGGGGACACAGAATGGGTTATCCTACTCACATTCCTGGAGGCGTAATAAAACCAGTGATATCATGATTAGTTGTCATGGTGACCAGAGGGCCTGGTGTTCAGCAGACATCCTGGCATCCAGTTTATTGAGTGAGGGGACTGTGACGATTTGTTAACCTAATGAATAATTGATTTGTTAAATCAAATTAAAATTAGTGTGTTAGATTGGTCGAGACGCTACAAAAGCTTTGAATAGTTATACAAGAACAATTTATCTCGGAACTTTTGTAAATGCTTATTTGTAAAATATATTTTAAAGAGCATTTTGGAATAGGTACTTGTAGATTTAATATTCATCAGCCAAAAATGTGGTCTTCAGCAGAAAAAAGGCAGTGAAAATTGGCAAAGAAATAAAAAAAAATTAAATTAAATAATCTAAACAAAATAACTTCACATGATGAACATAAACACCACAAAGAAATAAAACAGGACAGGTAGGAATGCGCTGGTATTACAAACCGCTACAGACATGCAGTTTAATTCCCATGAGGCATCTGCAAGCAAAAGACCAAGAAGAAAGCTGTTAGTTCTGTTTAGAGCCAGACTTTTGGCTGACTCTAAATGGACCTATATGCACTATACATATTATATAAAAAAATCTAGCACAACAAATAAATGAAAGTTCAAAGAGATCCGGTCTCTGTATTTCCTTCTCAACGGAGGTCCAGACAATACATTTGACCCTGAGCGCATGTGGTGTGTATCGCTCCATAGTTTTACATTTAATCTGAAAAATGATTGAATGGCCCAATTAGGTCCTGCGGTCTGGATGAAACCAAGCCGGGGTCCGGAACTACAGTCAGAAGTTCCTACTGGCAAAAAGTATTGGCAGTGACATATATTGTGTGTGTTTTGCAAAGTTTGCTGATTAAGCTGTTGTGGATCATTCACATTGGTTCTAGATTATTGTGTAGAGTCATCAGATGCATTTTAAATAATTGCTAAAAGCTTCATTGGCCAGAAAAATGACACAAAATGGCCAGCTAACATTAATTGACTAATTACAGGTGCATCTCAATAAATTAGAATGTTGTGGAAAAGTTCATTTATTTCAGTAATTCAACTCAAATTGTGAAACTTGTGTATTAAATAAATTCAATGCACACAGACTGAATTAGTTTAAGTCTTTGGTTCTTTTAATTGTGATGATTTTGGCTCACATTTAACAAAACCCACCAATTCACTATCTCAACAAATTAGAATACTTCATAAGACCAATAAAAAAATTGGATTTTTAGTGAATTGTTGGCCTTCTGGAAAGTATGTTCATTTACTGTACATGTACTCAATACTTGGTAGGAGCTCCTTTTGCTTTAATTACTGCCTCAATTCGGCGTGGCATGGAGGTGATCAGTGTGTGGCACTGCTGAGGTGGTATGGAAGCCCAGGTTTCTTTGACAGTGGCCTTCAGCTCATCTGCATTTTTTGGTCTCTTGTTTCTAATTTTCCTCTTGACAATACCCCATAGTTTCTCGATGGGGTTCAGCTCTGGTGAGTTTTCTGGCCAGTCAAGCACACCAACAATTAAGCTTTAGCGTTAGTTCTGGCAGGTCATGTGAGTCAAGTTTGCATCAGCTGATTCTCAGCTGATCACATCTACCTATAGGAATACGACACCTATCGCGGCATTGCTATATAAGCTGTATTCAGTATTATTCAGCAGCTTTTCAGCCTGCTTCGGAGCAAATTAAGCATCGCTGCTCGCAAATCAAACTGTTGCAGCGTGTTTCAGAACATCTGAAATCCACATCTAAGATAAGTAAAAATAAAACACTTAGGTGGTGATTGGAAGGTTACAACTGAGCGCTCAAATGGACACAAGGGATTTAAATATAGTCCAATTATAAGCAAGTACAAGCAGCGCCTTTATAAAAAAAATTAAAAAAAATTTTTTAATTAAAATACAGGTAACTACAGTCGTTTTCCTCTGGTTCCTCACTTGCTGAGCTTGGGGTGATGCTTCCCCCATAAATATATTATTAAGCAACATTTCCTGCTAAGTTTCTTATTTCATTCTCATTGCTTAACGCTA